CAAGCTGCCCTGGAACTGACCAGCCAATGCGAGCTGCACCCGGACCTTGTGTCTCAGACTTTCGGCTACTTGTTCTTCTTCTCCAATGCATCCCTTCTCAACTCGCTGATGGAACGAGGTGAGGGTTGGTCTGGAAAGGGTCCGGAAACAGAGACAGAAGCCACTGAGACCTGCATCAGTTAAGACACATCAGAGGCTCAGGCCTCATCTTTAGGGACTCTGGAGAGCAAGCTCCAGATCCCAAGCTGAAGAATAGGAAAGGTCTGGGAGGCAGGAGGGCAGAGTCCGTGCACCTATTGCTTCTCACACCCTTCCCTCACAGGTCAAGGCCGACCTTTCTATCAATGGTCCCGAGCTGTCCAAATCCGAACCAACCTGGACCTTGTCTTGGACTGGCTGCAGGGGGCTGGGCTGGGTGACATTGCCACTGAGTTCTTCCGGAAACTCTCCATAGCTGTGAACCTGCTCTGTGTGCCTCGCACCTCCCTGCTCAAGGTGACTCCTGACCCCTGACCTCTGAGTCCCCAGTCCCACTCATCCATCCTCTGTATTCAGCTTACCCTTGGATCTCCCCTTAGACTCCATGTTATCCCCAGTCCCAGTTCAGACACCATGGGTGATGCATCAGCAGCTAGAAGGAAGCCAGCCACATAAATGTCCAAGTTTGGCTGCATCTGAAACCCAGTTGGACTTACTAATAATAGTTTCCAGGGTCCCCTCCCTCAGACATGCTGATTCAGAAAGTCTGGTATGGGACCAAGGAATGTGACGTTTAAAACATTCATTGAATGTAAACTACATGCCAGATACTGTGTTTAGCCCTTCTCACTGAATGCTGACTAAGCCTTGTGAAGTAGGTTATTAATTGACAATTTTGTTCAGACAAAGAAACTGAGAATTAGGCAGGCTAGGTCACTTGATTTCATTTATTTACTTTTATTTATCAAACTTTTACAGAGCATTTAATAAGCACCAGTCAGAGTTCTGTGTACTTTACAATCTTGCCATATTAAATCGTCCTAACAACCCTGTTAGGTAGTTCCTGTTCTCCCCCAATTTACAGGTGAGGAAACTGAGGCACAGGGTTTGTGAGAAGGTAATGAGTAGCCTGGGACTTCTGAACCCAGGCAATCTGGGTTGAGTCTCTTGTTTTAACCACAGTGATGATTCTGTTGCCTAGATCTAGGTTAGGTACAGAAATTTTCAAACAGTTACCAAAAGTAGCCACAGTAGAATAATGAACACCTATGCACACAGTAACATAAACTAGTGGTCAATTTTGTTTCTTCTCCACCCCTGCCTACTCCTACCTCCTCATGTATTCCGAAGCAAATCACATTTTTCTTTTTTAAAGCTGAGAGTATGCCCTTTCCCACTATCACTTTGGTGACAACCATGTCTCACAGTACCTGGAAGACACTGCACAGACATCACTGTCTACCCACTACATCCATGCCCTCTTCTATGGAGGGCCTTCCACTTAGGATTTCTCAGCTGCCCCAAAATGATTGTAGATTTTTCACCTCATCTTCCCACCAGGCTTCATGGAGCAGCCTACGAACTGACCACCCCACGCTGACCCCTGCTCAGCTCCACCATCTGCTCAGCCACTACCAGCTGGGTCCTGGCCGCGGGCCTCCACCTGCCTGGGATCCTCCCCCTGCAGAGCGAGATGCTGTGGACACAGGTGAGGAGAAATAGGGACAGAGGCATTGGGGCTGTCAGCTTTCTTCTGTCCTCAGGACCTAGGGATCCATAGCCCCAACTCCTTCCTCCTGGTCCAAGATTCTGGACCCCTATCCCTCTCCTGCCCCGGGATCTAAGTGCTGGATCCCAGGATACAGTATTCTCCCCTAGGATACAGGAGTTCAAGCCCCCAGCTCCTTACTTTTTCCGCAGCGGTTCCGGTTC